TCCTGAGTACCTGGAAGAAGCTCCAGGCTCCTAGCTTTGGAACAGCTTAAGTCAGGCCATTGCAACCAAGGGGAATAAACTAGTGGATAAAAAATCTCTGTGTCTCTACATCTTTCAAATAAAAATAAATAAATCTTAGAAAACAACAAAAGCAACAAAAAGAGGAAAAACTGTAAGGGGTGCTGGCCTTACCAATGGCCCCAGGGGACTCACAGAATTGCACCTGCACTCCCTGTGGACACGAGTGACTGAGTACCACCTCCTGGCGTCCACACTGCCAGGGGACAGGAGGTTCCTGGCCAGTGAAACCACACTAGAAAAAGTGAGGAGACAGTGGCAGCAGACAGTAGGCTGGGAGCAGGGAAAGAGCTGACAGCGAGACCATGTCCTGGATTGTGGTTCTGCACCGGCTTAGGGTGCCCTGCACCCACAGAAACAACAGTCTCACTCCCTGGGTTCCTCAAAGGCATTTGAACAAACACCCCTCAGAAACAGCTGCAGCTCTCCAGTTCAAGCACACAACCTGCTTCCTAGTCACCCAGTAATGAAGCTGACTCACAAAGCCACCAGTTAGCTCGCTGGCACCTCCCTCCTAAACCTAGTGGCTTGCATTTAAGCATCTTAAATGCATCAGCTCTTTAACAGCTTCCATCTGGGAAGACAACAAAGCAAAGTAGCGGCTCGGAAACTCTGGCCCACAACCATCATAAAGCCTAGAAGCCAGGGGTGTTTTTTCAGAGAGAGCAAATGTGTCCCACAAAGCATAAAATATTAACCAGAATATTAACAAAATAGTAATAGCTCTTAAAATAAGTCGGCCAGACCCCACATTAGAATACCTTGGAATTTCAGCAGTAAGACCCAACTTAAGGATTCAAAATTTAAGTCTTGAAATTTCTTATAAACAGATGCCATTATGCACACCCGCTGTAAGAAGGGAGAAAACCAAAAGGAAGGCATGCGATGGCAGACATGGTGAAATCAAAGATAAGGAAAGCCTCAGGCCGAGAGGGGAACAGCAAGACTAACAGCATTCTGACCCAGCAAGATCACTGAGCTCTCACAAAGGCAGGCGAAGAACCAATACACTAGTGGATGATTTTGACTCTGCAGAAAGTTGGAAAACAGTACTGAGTAGCTAACACAGATGTACGAAACACTAACTAAAACTCTACACAATTAAAAAATTACTAACTCCAGGAAAATAGAAAAGCTGCTCAACCAAAGAATGTAACGCCAGTGAATTATGGGCTTTAACAATAAACAATTATGTGGCCATAATACTGTGAAAACAATATTTATTGAGCCCCAACTATTATATAATTTCACTGAAAGGTTGAGGGGAAAGAAATTATGAGGATCCAGGAAAGTGGTGTTTTGACATGGTAAACTCCTCTTGAGGGGGTGGAAAACATATTAATTACATCTTTCACTTAAAATTTACAAACTCTAGGTCAATAGCTAGCAAGGCTGTTTTGATTAAGCACCACAAAAGCATTATATTCTGATGAGTTGGAAGGTTTTCTTGGCTGTTAAATCAAGGATAAATTATTTCAAAGTCATCAGTTGGGAAAAAAGAACTCAGAAAAATGAAACAAAACATATTAGCAAAATTATAGCTTTCTGAATTTACATAGATATTTTTCCAAAGATCATAAAACCATCTACGGTAAAGAATAAAATATATCCATGTCACACATGTGACACACTTAAATTCAAGCTAATGATACATTTCACTGTATTTTATAAAAAATACAATTACAGAAAAAACAGTGCTTCAAATTCATTGTAAATAACAAAACCTGACATCACTTCAATAAATGAATGTCTCATATCTCTAGAATACCTAATAATTTTCAATTTTCAAAATCTGTATTACAGATTTTCAGTTCCTTCCTCATCTCTTAACGATTTTCTGCAAGAAATTTATTCAGTAGTCATTCATTTCCAGCACATTTGCTGGAACTGCTCTTCTCAATCTCTATTTCACTTTTTCTTTAAAGTTATAGAAGTTTACTTCATAAAATCCAACTTTTGCTTTCTTCTGAGTTTTGACATCTAGTTTCATTTTTTTCTATTTTTTGCTTTGCCTGCCTTATTCTCGGCTCTGAAGTTCACTTATGCAAAGCATAATCTAAATGCTGATTTCTAAGGCTTTCTGGTATATAGGCCATTTTCATGCAGAATCATGCTTCTACCACATTAAACTCTCATTTATAAGACTGATTATGGTGGTTCCAATTCCTCCTTTTTATCAACGATTTGGCTTCCCACTGTTTCAGCTGTCTATGATCAACTGAGGTAGAAAATATTACATGGAGAATTCCAGAAATAAGCAGTTCTTAGATTTGAAACTGCTCCAATTCTGAGTAGCACAAATAAATCTTGGGTCATTCTGCTCCATCATGCCTAGGATGTGAATTATCCCTGTGCTCAGTGTATCTACATTTTATATCCTGCCCATCTGTTAGTCCCTTAACAACCACGTGGGATACTGGTCTACCACAGAACCAGCTGTTAGTGCTCAAATAAACCTTACTTTACTTAATGTCCTAAAAACACAAGAACAGTGATTTTGGCAGTACAGGTATATCAAAGAAAAGCTATAAAGTACTGCTTTTCAGTGAAAAGGAGTAAGTACAATAAGATCCAGATATTTCAAAATGTTCATAGACAAAAGTGGATTTATAAAAAATGATGTATATTTTTTGAAATATCCTTTCAGTTTGAGAGACCGAATCGCAGAACTTTTATTACAGAATATTGCTACAACATCTGATTCAAATGATAGAAATGACAGCAGTTGTATCTGTGGCAGTTATTATTTTTGTTATTCTCTTAACTGTACCTAATTCATAAAATGATCTTTATTATATAAAACGTATGAGGAAATTATAAAAATTTCGTGGAAAATACATACTACGAAAAAACAATGCATGGATTTCAATAATTTTTTACACCAAAATGAACATTAATCACACTTTCTCACTAACTCATTGAAGCTGAAGTACTCTTGTATTTAACAGTGAAGTAAAAATAATGCATTTAGTGTTTGATACTGTGTCCAGCTGCAGGCAGCCACCGCGAGTTTTAGAACTTTTGTCCTGCAGAGCAGAGGATATAGCTCACTGAGTTATTTTACAATTCCATTTGCTCTTGTCGAGTATTCCTAACTCTATCATTTGAAATCTGAAATGCTCAACATTCAAAACCTCTTTAGCACTGATATGATGTTGTGGTGGAAAAGTCTACCTAGACCTTGTATGAGAGACAGCAGTCAAAATGCAGGTGCACTAAAAATATGAAATACAGTTACATGAATTTTGTGTTTATACCTGAGTCCCCTCCCTAATACAATCCACTTTATATATCATACACACACATCTCCAAAGCCCACGTCCAAAATATTTCTGGTCCAAGGATTTCAAATGAAGGATATATAATCTATGTTTTTGTGTTTATTTAGTATTTCATAATGCTTCACATTACACTTTAACTTTTGAAACAAAGTATGACGCTTTTTCAGACTCTTCCTTGATATTTTTGTGTAATACAACGGAAAAAAATCTCCGTTGTGTTGTACTAAAATTCTACCAACTTTGCAGGCTTTCAAGAAGGGCTCATTTTAGATTTGGACTATTTCTGTATTTAAAATAAAAATGAAACTAATAAAAATTTTAAAACACTAAGAAAATAATAAGAATGGCATCTTTGTATTTCTTAAGAGTTCTGTATGTTCTTTAAATTATTCAAAACTTCTTTTCTGTATCTGTAAGAGGTTAGTCACAAACATTGCTATACCTAATTCTGATCTACTTAGTATTTGGTTTTTGCATTTGTAAATAGATTATTGAGAGGATGCAAACAGTTCGTTACAAATAAACCAGATTATTTTTTTGAAAAGAAAATTGTATTCATTTCTTAATAGCATGCACTGTCCATGATTCTTGGGAATTTATATAATGAAATTGGTTTACAACATGTGAGAAGCATGTCAATTTTCTTTTGCAAAACCTGTTTATCAAGTCAGTTTCCCCAAGCATTCAAACATAAGCACGTACATAACATTACCACAGCTGTTTCCTAATATTTGTTTGTTGTTTTTTATACTAGACACTACCTACAAAATATCTGAACCAAGATGGAGTAAAAGCATCATATTTCATGCCTGTTTTTATATGGAATACCTCTATATTTTACTTTTATAAAAATTTTGCAGATCAAACAAAACTTATCTTCATAAAACATGCTCCTTGAATCAGCATGCAGGAATGAATTCTATCAAATGTCCTTTAGAATCCAACAGGTATTTTTCCCATTATAATCTTCACTGACAGCATATGTTTATACACATTGACTTGCCCTCATGTATTTCAGACAACCCTTCTTGATTATGGTTGGCTATGGCAGGATTGTTAATACAATGAAGAATTCTGTAACTACAATTAGCAATTTTAGGATGGAGCAAGAATGGAGTTTATTCACTGTGTCATTTCTGTTAGGTTTTGTCTAAGTTTTGGCCATGCTATACCACCGAATGAGTGGGTAACTTTTTGTATTTCTCCTTCACATAAGAATTATTGGAACTTTATCTTCTAAGCTTCTGAAAATATTCAGCAATAAAAGTGTCCTAATCAGGGGCTGGGATGGGAGGAAGGATAGAGAAGGATCTGACATCTATCTCAACTTCATATTCTCATGTCCTGCTTCTGAATTTGTACTGCGTGCTGCTCCAAATATACTATAAGCTATAGAATCAGAATTCTGCTATGAAGAAGAAAATGGCTTGTTAACGAGTAAGTGTCCATGAAGGGTTTTGAGGAGCTTTCTGGAGAGTTGTGCCATCTTTTCTGACTGTTCAGAGGACATTTCTGCATGCATTTTAAAATAGGTTGAGTTTGCCAGAGACACAACTTCATGTAATTCCATAATTTGAAACCGATGTTTGAGTTTATTCACACTAATTTTTTAGATAATTCTAAAACCTACAGACTAACAACTCACTTTGTTCACTTCAGCAATTTCTCTCCTCTCTTCAGTAGCAAATCGAGGGGGGCCAGCTCTATCATCATTCTTCGAACCATCTTCTTCCACGTATGGGATAAGTTGCTGCAAATGATGAGCAAAAGTTGAAAGTTAAAAAAGCAATGGACATTTCCCACTGATATAGACAATGAAGATCAACTTTTATACTTTCGGTAGCATAAAAATTTAAGGTGCTATCCTGAAGCAACAGCCTTAGAAGTGCATTGTTTTGATACGTGCCAAATATTATCGTCAGGTTTCTTTTGCAAAACAGTCTTTACAACATTGGTTGCCACACATAATTAAGTAATACCTCACTATTCAATCAGTAAATTGCCAAATGGTAGGTGAGGACTTGTAAAAACAATGCCAAAGACAAAGTGATTATTGTCCCTTAGAGATTTATAGTATGTTAACATATGGAAGGCAAACTTTCCTTCCTCTAAACTAGAAAGATAGTTACTCAAAGTAACTTACCAGCTAAAATGTTATTGTCTATGGACATTTCTAAATGTTTTAACTTTTTCTAATTGTAGGAATGTTTACTTTGTAGAAGATTTTATATAGCTGTGAAACTTCTGGAAGAATTAGAATTAAATGTGAGTGTGTGTGGTTTGTGAGAAGTTTATTTGATAAAAATGCTTGTAAATGTGACAGGTTTTAGGGGGAATCTAGTATCTACCCTCTTACAGGGTCATCACAGAAATATGTCAGACACAAACAATCGGTAAGATAAAATCATCTGGCCAAACTTTATGTTCTAGGGAGAAAAAGAGATTCAACCACATCTACTTTGTCCCTTTTGTTTTAGAACAGAGCTTTCGTTCCTTGCAAGATGGTTCATCTCCATTCCGACAGGTCCCTACAAGGATTCACCTGTCCTCATTATAATTTCCCTTTCCCCAGCTTCCTCCTGAAATGCTCTTTCATCATCTACATGTGCTCTATCTAGCACTTACATCTCCTGCTTTCAGCTCTGCTTCTTCAAAGACTCAGATCTTCTTGCCAGCATCAGCTCCCTACTTCCTGTTTAATCTTCAACATACTGCAGTATGACTTCCGATTGCTACCATTTATATAAATATGCATATTTACATGTATGTAAAATGCATAGTCACCAAATTTAATTTCAGGTGATAGATACTATTGGTTAATGATTAAATATGACAGCTACTAAATGTAATATTTCTATAGATAGTCCTTTCTTATTGTCAAACTGCATATCATCAAAAATGTTTAAGATGTTTGGCCCTCACTCCAGGAGGAAGACATGTTCATGTTATTCCCGTTTTCTTTTTGAACAATCAGCGTGAAAAGGATGACTCAAGAAAGGGTAAACTGAAGAAGATTCTGGAAAAAAAATGATCAGAGCTATGGGAAAAAGAATAAAAAATGCAATTGACATGCTGCAGACAAGCCAAGGAAAATGAGGCTACAGAGAAAAAACTTGTATGCACTTGTTCACTCCCCGAATATCCACAAAGGCTGAGACTGGGCCGGATGGAAGAGGGGATCTCAACCTACGTCCCCCACAGGGGAGGCAAGAACTCACTGCCTACACTTGTCATCTTTCCAGATCTTCACTGGCAGAAGGTGAGAGACGGGGGGCCAAACCCAAGCATCAAACCCAAGCACTGCCATACAACAGATATTCCACCTGGTATCATAATCACTAAGCTGAACACCTGTTCCTAGAGAATTTATTTTTAAGGCAGAAGGATTCCAATGGGCTAAACAGCAAATCTACATTAATCATGCTAAAAAAATAATGTTATCTGTAAAGGACTTGCATAAAAATATTCATGATACTAAAATTTCTACCAAAAAAAAATTTTACCTGAACTGATTTAAAAGCAAATGTTCGCCACAATAACAAAAACTGTCATACATAACACTACTCTCTCCAAAACAAAGGACACCAGCGGCCTGAATGTCAGTCTACTAGAAATTCCTAACATGGCAATATGGTAGCAATTCTATCCATTTTCACTTTCAATATAAAGGATATGGAAATAACGTTAAAATAGGAGAAAGAGGAAAGCGGCGTAAACAACAAACGCTTTGACACTATCTCACATGTTCCATTCACCCTCCACGAAGCTTACCTCCACTGGAACGGGATCCATGCCGCCACAGTTTTCATTGCATTTGTCATAGACTAATCGCAGCTTCCTGAAAAGGACAGAAAGCTGGCGCAGATGGTCTTGTAGTTTTGTCAACCGGTCTTGGTATGTTCCAGTATGGTATGTGACACCATTTGGCAGCTTATTGGACAAAACAAAATAAAAATACAATTAAAATAAAGATTTTTTATAAGTAAAGCTAACACTTTTAAACATAGCATAAAAGCAAGCTATTCCTCATAATCCAGTTCAATATTAAGAATTTCAGAGAGCAATATATGCTCATTAAGTAGCAACTTGACATCAAATGTCACTCTTGTAAAATAGATCTAGGCAGTGAAATGCCTTTGACCACTTGAAATATTTGCATTTTCCCCCTGTAATCTGAGAAATATAACTATAATAAAAGGCACAGTTCTGATTTTTTTAAGATTTGCTTATCTGAAAGGCAGAGGGACATGGAGACAGAGAAGACAAAAATGGACAGAGAAGTCTTCCATCTGTTGGTTCACCATTCGCCACCCTGATGGCTGCAGTAGCCACACTGGGGCCAGACTAGATCCAGGAGCCAGGATTTCCGTCTGGATCTCCCATCTTGAGTTGTTAGCTACAACCCAAGCACTGGGTCATCCTCTGCTACCTTCCCAGGCACATTCACAGGAAGCTGGGTGAGCAGCTAGCAGCCTGGATCCCAACTGCTGGGATGACACTTTCCTAAGAGATGGCTGAAGTTGCGGCACCACAAAACCAGCCCAGTATGTGCAATTTTACTATTATTTTTATGTAAAGAAAGAAGCTGTTGAGATTGACCAACAAGTTAAAAACAAAACACAGCAGGAAAAAAATAGTGAAGTTCAATGTTTTTAGCAGAAGCAAATAGTAGTATATTGCTACTGCAAAAATCTTCTCAAAATATTGTTTCAGTGATTATTAATATGTTTAAGGAACACATTAAAATAGAAAGATGCAACCAAAATTTTACCTAGAAGATCATTAAGAGGAAGTATGGTGCAGACTTGTATTTCAACATTATTAATAACTTACTACAAATAACAGCTATGTTCATAATTCTATCTAGCCAAAAGTATGTATCGAAGTGATGATTAAGTCATAAGTAAATGAACATTATTGCTTACTTAGAATTTACTCCTGTGCATTACTAGAAGTCATGAAGAGTATCTTCCTTTCTCTCTATGTTTATATTTCATACCTATACCTGGATGTGTGGAGCTGTTCTCATTTTTACTGATTTATTTGAGAGATACGGACATAAGGATACACAAGGAAAACCAGGGCTGGGCCAAAATGAAGCTCCAGGTTTCCCACTCAGGTGACAAGAATCCAGCTATTTGAGCTATGGCCTGCTGCCCCTCGGCTGTTAGCAGAAAGCTGTAGTTGGGTGCAGGGCTAGCAGTCCAACCAGGCACTGGGACAGGAGGGCCACACTTCCCAGCTGGCTTCTTAACTGAGGACCAAATGCTGACCCAATCCGAACGTTTAAATCAAGAACATTTACACTGCATTTTCCAGTGTAGAGGTATTTCCATTTATAGGAGCTCATCCATATATTTAGCTTGGGGATTAGACTCATGTGCTTTAAGATCAAGGCATTACCTACTAGCCAGTAACTAGGAGATCAAGCCGATCATTTCACAAGATACAATGTTTGGAGAGAAAAGAAAATAGATCACAAAATCATTAAACCCATAAACATGAAAAAGACTGGAAAAGCCTACACAGTTGATAAAAGGTACATAAGCTTGAACAATTTTTGTTCTTTTTTATGTCACTCTCAAAGTAATACTCCAGAATATGAATTAAGGAGACAGATCTTCTGACATTACTTGAAATATTATTAGAATTTCAGGAAATTATCAAGCATTAAAACAATCATAAATGAATATAACAAAGTACCAAAGTCTGAGTTAGTAAAAATACATTAAAAGGGGAAATTACGAGTCACTCTCCCCAGTACAATATAGGGTTCTCCCTCATGAATGCTAAACTTATGAACTTTTTATAGACACTAAAAATTGTGAGAAAAATTTAAATGGATTTTTGGTTGCTTGTTTGGGTAAGGTAGTGTAATGATTAGAGCTTGCACGAGAAGTACTCTGTATCCTTATTGTAGCATTTAGTAGGTTTATTCCTTTGTTCATATTAATTATTCGTAAAGACTGCAACTTTCATTTGGATCATCTCTTTAATGTTTTTCAACAATACTGTAGTTTGAGATGTAGGAAAATTTCACCTGTTTGGTTGAATTTATTCCTAGGCCTGTTTGTTGTTACAGTAAGTGTGATGATCTTATTACTTAGATCACATACTGTTGGCCTATAAAAAAGCTACTTTATTATATGCTGTTTTTTATTCCTTCAGCTTTGCTGAATCTGTTTGCTAGCTCTAATAGGTTTTGGAGGTCTCTGGAGTTTTCTCTAAGTAGGACCATGTCATCTGCAAACAGCGACAATCTGACTTCATCCTTTCCCATTTTAACACCTTTTAGTTTTTCTCGTCTAATATTACTAGAGCTTAGTACTACACTGAATAAAAGTGATGGAAGTGAGCATTATCTATCTTGTTTTAGGTCTGAGAAAGCCTTGAGCTTTCCCCCTTTCTTAGGATGTTAGCAGTGGGCCACACATGTTCTTTCTGTATCTAATTTGCTCAGAATTGTTCATCACGAGATGTCTAATCTCATCAACTGCATTTTTTGTGTCTGCTGAGATAATCCTGCAGCTTTATCCTTCTAGTGATCTAATACATCACACACATAGAAGAATGAAATTAGACCGCATCTCTTACTGTATACAAAAATCAACTCCAATGATCAAAGGTTTAGATGTAAGACTGAACACCATGAAACTAACAGAAAGCACCAGCAGAGGCTTCATGGCATTGACCTAGGCTGGGATTCTGCGGTTAGCAATGCTGCCTTGCCCGATCTGGGAGACAGGAAACCAAAACATCACATTACAATGCTTCTACAAAACTTAGAAAATAACCAATAGAATGGAAAGACAACCGATAAACAGGAGAATATATTGGCAACTCATACAAGAGCTACATAGCAGGCTTGATTTGTGAATATTAAGGGGTAAATATCTAGAATATCTGAGGAATTCAAATATGCAAATAATAGGAAAGCAAATAATCAGATTTCTTTTTTAATTAAGCAAAATCCCTGGTCAGCTTTCATCTAAATACTGGCATCCCAAAAAGAGGAACATTTGCTCAGTCAGATAAATTACTATGTGCCTTTCATGTGCTGCCCCCACTGCCAGAAGCTGAGATATAGCAGTAAACTTGAAGACAGGCTTCCATGCTACTGAGTGTATGCGGCAAAGTGCCTGCGACGCACTGAGTGTGGGACAGCCCTGTAGCAGAAAAGCTTATCCATAAACATCTCACTCATGAATATGGATAAGAAACCATAAAGATATCATATCCTACATACTAAGAAGGCTATCAAGCGAATGCAATTTCCAATCTTCAAATCAATATAAAAATCAATAAAAAATACCTCAAGGTGCTAAAACATATTTATCTTGATAAAAATGCCAGTGCTGTGATTATTATGGAATCATTAGAAATATTCCCATTAAGGTCAGGAACAGAAAAGGATATCAAAGAAGAATGCAAATAATACTAGTAAACACTGGCAGCATTGGCCAAAATAATTAGAGAAGAAAACGGCTGAAATATTAGAGTGTGGCATAATCCTAACTACTTCCAAAACGCTATTATAAGTAAAGGAATTTAATGTGTAAGTGGGTACAAAATCAACAGAAAGAAAGTAATGGCTTTGCTTTCACCTATGAAAAACAAACATCAAATAAGGAAAGGAAGGAGACCCCATTATTGCAACAACAAAAAAAAGTGAGTCTTGTGGCCGGCCTTGTGGGGTAGCAGGTAGATCGCGCAGCCTTGAATACTAGCATCCCAAAGGAGTGCAGGTTCAAGTCCTAGCTGCTCTACTTCTGAACCAGAATTCTGCTAGCATGCCTGGTAAAGCAGCAGAAGACAGCCCGGTGCTTGGAGCCTTCTTACCAGTGCCACGTTCCTCATTTTGATCTGGCCTGGTCCTGGCCACGGGCTGGGCGCTCCTGATGGAAGCTTGCCCTCTTGGTGTCTCTATTTCACCCTCTACCTTTGTAACTCTATCTTTCAGATAAATAACTCTTTAAATGGAACATAAAACAAAATAAAAAGAAATCAACTGTAAAAACCTCAATATAAAAACACTCCAAATAATTTGCAGAGATACAATGATATTCCATAATTTGTGTTCTAATTTTGCTAATAACACTCAGCATTATAACGTGAAGTGTTTCTGCGGTTGGATAAACCTAAGACAAACACCAACACTTTTTTTTCCTAAGAAATAAACAAGCTAATTCTAAAGTTTATGTGGCAAGATAAGGAAGAATGGCTAGAGCAACTGTGACGGTTAAGTATAAACACAATATAGAGCCTCTAAAATCAGAGACATTTGGCATTAATACATAAAGGAAAGGCAGAAAAATAAAATAGAACAGCAATCCAGAAATACATTCATCCAAATGCATCAAGTAGCACCTGAAGTTAGTGAGCGAGGAAAACATAAAACTAGGGCCATGTCCTATTTATAATAGGATAAATTTCATAAGGGCAGACATCTTTAATATAAAACTGAAACAACAACAACAAAGCACCCATATAATTCTTCCTGATTGTGGAGTGAGGCAGGCCATCCTAACCAGAAAACCTAAATGACTGGAAAGTCAACTATTTTTTTCAAAAGCATGCACGGTAGAAAGTGCCACAAGCAGAGCCCAAGGTAAAAACAGTACTTGCAAGTTGCATCACACACACCCCCTCACATGGAGAGGTTTCTTATATATACACAAATAGTGAGGTCTTACAAACTGGGGCAGGAGGGGGCGGAGGAGAGTAAAGAATCCCCCCTCCCCGAAAACAAAGATAGAGCAATGGGCAAGATGAATAATCATTTAGCAGAAAAGGAAATCAGATTCATGAATAAAGAAATGCTCAAATTCAACCAAAATAAGAGAATCAAAGGCAGAATTTTCAGCTACCCAGTGATCAAACATTTAAAAATGCAGTAACTCACCACCTTGGTCTTGGTTGGACACAGCAGAATCAATTTGTGTGACGCAGAGAGGGCAACTTGCTGCAGTTTACCTGATTGTACAGGCAAACAGCTATTTCTGAAAAACTTACCCTGCAGGTATATTGGCACATTTGTGCAGGCTATTTAGTAGAGTATAATAATGAAAGGTTCAAAACAGTCTAAATCATAATATTTCTACATGGTGGAATACTGCACACTATAAAAAGGAAATGGGAATATGATCTGCAGGGACAAGAACAAACTTCAAAGTACATGAAACAAAAAAGCAAGACACACAGTGGTGTGTACAATATACTACCGTCTGTTGCAAAGAACACACATACACTCATGCTTAAGGATCTTACTCCAAGAACCGTCAAAAACCACCACCAGGGGGAGGAGGCTTGGAGGCCTAAGGGTCAAGGAAAGGGAGCCTTCACCACAGAGGCAGGACCAAAGCGATGCCACACTTCACAGGGAATCTCAGCGTGGGATTTACCAACACCTGAGCAAACAGCTTTAAATGGAACATAAAACAAAATCTGGAAATCTTTTAGAATATCTGTGTGTGTGGTTTTCTCAGAGGACAAGCTACAGTTTCCGTCAGACGTACAAGCAGCAGCTGAAAACAGTGAATATATAAAGAACCAATCTCTAAAATTACTAGAAATTATCTCAGAAGTTTTAATTTGTGGTGTTTTATGCCATAATCCACTGTACATATAGTAATACAAGATGACTTTTCACATTTGAATACTTCCAATATATTGATATATAAGTAAATAAATCAGTAGTAGATTGATAATATATGTACTCAAGAATATCAGGTTTGTTCACATTATTTTTGTCTTTTCAGTCAATTATGACACCCCAAGGGTCTTAAGTTAGACAATGAAATTCACAAAATGAGAGGTACACAAATAATGATTATGACCTTTGCAAATTAGCTTTGAATATAGCTAACATGCTCTTGAAAAAGCCTGGTTCTTTCTGTCAGTCATGCGCTTGTATCATACCTGTTTTAATTACATATGTTGTTTGACATTCGGAACTATTATAAAGAGGTTATTCCAAAGGCCACCAGCAATATGTGATGTTGCATAATTTACTTTTTTTTAAGCCTCTGCTTCCTCATATGAGAAATAGTGATATTTAAAAATGTTTAAAATGATGACATTTAAAAACTGGTCCTGTAACTACAAATCCAACCAAGTAAAACATCGCTTGTTAGCTATTATCTCTAGCTATCACTGCTAATCCAGTACTGTTTAAGAGTTAACAGTAAATAGATGCTGGGCCTAGCGCGGTGGCCTGGTGGCTAAAGTCCTTGCCTTGAACACCTGGGATCCCATGTGGGTCCTGGGTTCTAATCCTGGCAGCTCCACTTCCCATCCAGCTCCCTGCCTGTGGCCTGGAAAAGCAGCTGAGGACAGCCCAAGGCCTTGGAACTCTGCACCCACGTGGGAGACCTGGAAGAAGTTTCTGTCTCCTGGCTTTGGATCCGCAGATTACGAGCCGTTGCGGTCACTTGGGGAGTGAATCATTGGATGGAGGATCTTCCTCTCTGCCTGTCCTCCTTTCTGTATATCTGACTTTGTAATAAAAATAAATCTTAAAAAAGTAAATAGATGCTAAATTCTGAGGCATCACTTAATCACATCTTAACAAATCTGATACTAGTATATTTATTTTGCTAAGTGATTGCTAGAGAGTTTTAGATCTTACCTTGGATATCCTTTGTATTCTATTCCATGCTAGTTTACTGATGTAGTCTTAAAGAATTCCACAAAACTGAATTATAACCAGGAGGACAAAAAACATCTCAGCCATTTAAAAACATTCTGGCCAGTGCTTTGACGGTGCAGTCGCTGTCATTCAAACCCAACAACATATTAAAAATATCACCTACACTGACCAAACGGGACTTTATGCCAGGGATACAAGTATGGTTTGATGCACCAATCAATAAACTGACACCCATATCAGCAGAATGAGGGGGAAAATTATGTGAAACTCATCAGGTGCAGAGAAAGCATTAAAACAAACTCATGGAAACCTTAACCAAATTAAGTGTTGTAAAAGGAACACATCTCAATATAATAAAAGTCTTATACCAAGAAGCCCACAGCCATTACTGAATGGCACAAAGATGGGGAACTACTCAAGGACGCCCATTCTCCCCACTCTGTTTCTGCACAGTGCTGGGAGCGTTGCCAGAGGCCTTAGGCCAGAGACAGAAAGAGCATACACACCGGAAAGGAGAAAGTCCAACCATTCCGCTTTGCAGCTGACATGATTCTAAGAGAGGGTGGACCCAAACGATCCCACCAGGGATTCCAACTGACCTCTACCGCTCACAGGCTTTTGGCAAGGCATTTTCTCTTACATTTTCTGTTTTTATTGGAAAGTCAGACTTTACAGAGAGAAGGACAGACAGAACGATCTTCTGCCTGCTGGTTCCCAACACATGTAAAGTGAGGATTTAGCCACATCTCCCTAAGACTTCTCTGGGAAAGACCTCCTCCTCCAGCAGTGGTAAAATAAGCAAGAACACAGAAGTCAGTTCACTGACTGGTGCTAGAATATTTGTGTATCCAAATGAAAACTAATAAGCTTGAATTCCTATTACTATACCAAAATAACTCAGTATGAGTTACAAAGATTTTAAGGTGAAATCAAACTACTAAACTTAAAAAAAAAAAAAAAGATCTATTTATTTTTGTTGGAAAGTCCGATATACAGGAGAAAAAGAGACAGAGAGGAAGATCTTCCATCTGTTGATTCACTCCCTAAGTGGCCCCAGTGGCCAGAATTGAGCTGATCCAAAGCCAGGAGCCAGGAGCCTCCTCTGCGACTCCTACGTGGGTGGAAGGTCCCAAGACTTTGGGCAGTCCTGGACTGCTTTCCCAGGCCACAAGCAGGGAACTGGATGGGAAGTGGAGTAGCTGGGACACAAATTGGTGCCCACACGGGATCCTGTCCTGTGCAAGGCAAGGACTTTAGCTGCCAGGCTACTGCGCCCAGCCAAAACTACAAAGCTTTTAAAAGCAAATAGGAAAAAAAAAAAGGAAATAGAACCTCTTAGTTACCCTGGGTCAGGCAAAGATTTCTCAGATGGGACCCCGAAAGCAGACCTTGTGAAAGGAAAAATCACTAAGTCTAATCTCATAAAAATAAGAAGTGCCTATTTTCAACAAAGTTAGGGTAGGGCAAACACAGCCTTGGGAAGTCTTCTTCGGACAATGTAAGGCAAGATGCTGGAGGGTTCAGCAACTCCCCTTCCAGACATCTACCAGAGCCAGACAAACACAGGCTCACAGCACAGTCTGTACCCAGATACTCACGGCAGGGTGCTTTTTTTAACGGCCCAGATGTCCTTCCAGAGACGAACAGACACCTAACCTGGGACACAGTCACAGGTTGGCAGCAATCACCCGGCCACAAAGAGCAGAGAGAGAGCTTCTGACGCCCTGGGTCCTCTTTCAGGACCCCCAGAACTCTACCTTCTGTATGGCTGCAATGATGTAGCCTCTAGAAGAGGCCGACTTTATCTGAGAGGACAGAAAGCCCCTCACTGGCTCTATGGGGTCAGCGAAAACTTGGGAAGCAGATGTGGCCACTGCCAGGATTATCGTGACGCACGTCCCGTCTGTCAACACTCGGGGGCTGGCTTTTTGTTTTTTAAAAATCGGTTAGCATGACTCGAATTCTTCAACTTTCGGACTGCTGGGCAAGCATTTTGCTGGGAACGACTTTAAAGAGGAAAATGGAGTGCGACCCACCCTATCTCACAAGGCGCTGGAGTTGACATAACTTGTCAACTCTGGAGAATCTAGAAAATGTGCCTGCGAGGTTCCGGGAACGCCGTCCGGCAAGCTCACCCCGGCACAGACATCATTTCTGTGGGCGAGTGGGGTCCCCAGACCCCTCGAGGCTCGCCCCGCGCACCCCGTGATGGCCCACCTGCATGTTCCGCAGCAGCTGGAAGATCTCCATGGTGCGGTACACGATGTCCTGGACCGTCTCCTGCCCGATTCTACACAGCGACGCCGTGTTGACCTCCCGGGCGGCCTGCTGGGCCTGCGGCCCCCCGAAAGGCCCGGCCGCCATCCCCGAGGCCGCCAGCGGAGGGGTGGACATGGCACGGGCCGGGAGTCGGCGCTGGGCGGCCGCCCCGGAACCGCCGCACTGCCAGGCCTCGGCGCGCGCACAGCCGCTTGAAAGACCCGGGCGAGCGATTTCAAAACACCAGCCGCGACTTCCGCCTACATGACGCCACACGGCCTCCAGACGTCACGGGCGCCGCCCACTCGTCGGAACCCTGGGAACGAGTCTCCTCGCGAAGCTGGACAGGATTGGGCGAGGGGCTGGGACGGGATAGGACGGACGGGTGGAGCAGCCAATCAACCGCTGCAATCAGGCCAGGGGCGGTACTCCGTGTGGGGGCGGTGCAGGCTTTCCCAGAGTCTGGATCCCTTGCTGGAATGCTTGGCGGAATTGGGCTTTTGCATTGAGTTCCTGCCTGAGCATTTTGACTTCATGGACCCTTTCCTTTTGCAGTGCGGAGGAGTTAATGCCCTCCTCAGACGGGGGAAAGGGCTTGTTTAGGCGTCTAGAACTGGAACCTGATCACCTGTGATTCGAACCCCCGACCATGCCTGCTGCGTCTAAGGCCCCACGCCGGCTCCCTAACACTTTGGTTCCTCTCTCAATGCTCATTTTCTGGATTCCCAGCACTTCGTAACCGGCTTGTTGATACTTGCTAAATGATTTTCAGGTGACATAAATACAACAACAACAAAAAATTACAGCTTCTCTCACCCACCTCAATGGCCCATTTCAAAGTCGGAGGTGGGGCGAGGAATGTGAAAAATGGTCTTACTTAAAAAGTTTTGCTCTTTAAAAATATGTGAGCACCCGACGGGATAGCATAACAGCTAAAGTCCTCACCTTGAACACATCAGGATCCCATATAGGCACTGGTTTTAATACCGGCGACCCAGCTTCCATCCAGCTCCCTGCTTGTGGCCTGGGAAAGCAGTGGAGGACGGCTCCAAAGCCTTGGGATCCTGCACCCATGTGGGAGACCTGGAGGAGCTCCTGACTCCTGGCTTTGGATCGCCTCAGCTCCAGCCTTTGTGGTCGTTTGGAGAGTGAACCATCGGATGGAAGACCTCTTTGTCTCTTCTCTCTGTTTATCTGCCTTTCAAGGAAAAATAAATACATCTTAAAACAAAAAAATATATATATATATATATATATATATGAGCACTAGATTGGTGTGGGCTTTTCAGGAAGTGGTGATTAGTGGCCCAGGAATTGGGGGCATTTTAAATGAGCACTTCTGTTTGTCAGCTGTCTGTGGAGTTAGGGGCTAGATGCTAGGAGTGGAGACAGAGGGTGGACCAATCAGGAACATCATGACTGTCAAACGACTAGTGATGATGCATTGAAGCAAAAGGCCTGCTAGAGTAGGAAGCTAACATTTGGAGGACTTGGGAACCAGCTGAGAAAGCTGGATCCTGAAGGTGCTATAGGAAAGGGAGTGCTGAACTTAAAAGCCTTTTTTTTTCTTTTCTTTTTGAAGTTTTTAGTTTAAATTTGTAGGTGAAGAAATCTAATACTTTCTGGGATCTGAAAAAAGTTTGGTGTGAAGATGTACATTAGCAAATAGGGCTGAAGACAAGCAAGCCACGGAGGACCTTCTGGGCCATGTCAAGCAGTTGAGACTGCATTCTCTGGGAGGCAGCCACTTACTGAGGAATTTCAAGGACTGAGGAGGAATTACCTGACGTATTCATAATCGAGAATGTTCTGTCTGCGGAACGGGGGATGCACGGAGAGTAAGTGCTGTGCTCACCCACGGAAGGCGGACCACAATGTGCCTCACACGATGCGATGGGGAGCTCTTGCAGGGAACACAGAGAGCAGCATTGACTTCTTTGGGAACGTCAAGGAAAGGAAAGATTCAAGGAACATATATGTTTCTGCCCTGAACACATGGATGACACTTTTGTTGTGTCCCAAGACAGGATACATGGAAGAAAACACAAGTTTCAGAGAAATTTGGCTTTGTGTGGGCTTCCTAGAGCTACTGATACAATGACCGCAACATTTATAACTTAAAGCAACTCACATTTACCATTGAGTAGTTTTGTAACTCAAAAGTCTGCATATGGGTGTCCCTGAGCTAAGTGTGAGGTGCTTGACAGGGCTGTATTGGTTTCTGCAAGCTATCGGAAGGTCATGGGTCCCTTGAGTTTTTCCATGGGAATTCTTGTCCCATTCCTTGCTTGTGGCCCCTTCTCCTGTTCTTAAAGCCAGTATTCACAGCCGAGCTCACTCTCTCTGACTTCCTCTGTTAGGGACCCTTTTGATACCATGAGCTAATCCAGGTCATTCCAGCTATCTTGACTCACTTGTTTCTGCCATTGCAGTCTGCTCTGCCATGGGAATCCCCCCTCTCCATGCAACCTAGTCATAGGTTCTCAGCATTAGGAATTAAACATGTTTGGTAGGGTAGGGGGTGAGGGGGAGTGGATAGTTCTGCTGACCACCTACTTCCCTTCCAAGCTGAATTGACACACAATATTTCTGGCATTTGACTTACATGGTTAATTAGCATCCAAAAATTAATGTATGTAAAATCAAACTCTTGACTCACCCAAGTTTCTGTTACACTCTCATACTTTTTCCTGTCTAATTGGCCTCACTGTATGCTTAGTTGCTCATCGTGGTTTCTCTCTCCCCCAACCCATGGCGATTGCATCAGAAAATACATTAACATTAACTTTCAAAGCTATCCTATGGGCGACCACTTCTCATTGCATTAATGTCTTCATGCAGTCCAAGCGGTCTTCTCTTGAATTATTAGATAAAAAAAAGAAATGTCCTAAGCAGGGTCACCTTATGATATTCTTGCCCCTTTCAGTTCACTCTCATTACAGTAACCAGAGGGAATGTTTCAAAGCAAATGTTGGCTGTGGCTCTCTTCTAACGAAGTGTCATCGCACCATACTTAGAGTAAGATCCTGAGCTGCATGACCTGCACATCCTCCCACCCGTGTGCTAGCCCTGGACCTCTGCTGCCGTCTCAGCCCTTACTGACCCCCCACCACTGCTCCCTATCAGCCTTTATTTCTCTCTCTCTCTCTAAAGATTTATTTATTTTTATTGGAAACGCAGATTTACAGAGAGAAGGAGAGACAGAAATAGAGAAAAATCTTCTATTCGCTGGTTTACTCCCCAAGTAGCCACAACAGCTGGAGCTGAGCCAGTCCACAGCCAGGAGCCAGGAGCTTCTTCCAGGTCTCCCACACAGGTTCAGGGCCCCAAGGCTTTGGGTTGTCTTCAACTGCTTTCCCAGGTCACAAACAGGAAACTGGAAGGGAAGCGGAGCGTCCAGGGTACAACCTGGTGCTCAACTGGCACCCTGGGAGTGCAAGGCAAGGACTTTAGACACTGGGCCACCACGCCTGGCCCCTTGCTATTTTTTTTATGCTGCATCTCCCTTCAGGGCCAGTGCCATTTCTTTAGGCCTGGGAAGCAGGTCTTTTCCTAGATTGTGACCTTTGATAGATATTTGACTTAAAGTAGTCTGCATTAGTTTTCACCTACTGCTGGAACAAATTATCAGAATTTAGTGGATTAAAGCAGCAGAAATGTATTAGCTCTTGGAAGATATCTGGCCTGAAGGCATAGTAGAAGAATCCTATAAAGAAATGGTCATACCAGTATCCCATATATGTACTGCTTTGGTCCCAGATGCTCCACTTCTCATCCAGCTCTGTGCTTCTGGCCTGGGAAAGCAGTGAAGGCTGGCCCAGGTCCATGGACGCCTGTACCCATGTGGGAGATTTCAAATAAGTTCCTGGATCCTGGCTTTAGATCCGCCCAGTTCTGGCCACTGGGGCCATTTGGAAAGTGAACCAGTGGATGGAAAATCTCTCTGTCTCTCTTTCTTTCTGTAATTATCTCTCTCAAATAAAAATAAATAAATCTCAAAAAAAAAAAAAGAAAAACTGGCTTAGAGCTCCCCATTCTAGCATCAAGGTCTTGACACTACAGTGTACCTTCTGAACGCCCTGGAGGAAAATCTGCTTTTTGCTTGTTCATTTTGTTGGCAGAATTTAGTTCCTATGATTATAAGGCTGATATCTCCATGTTCTTACTGGTTGTAAACTAAAAGCCAATCCCAGCTTCAACGAGAGGCCATGTGTTCTAGTTTGTGGATGCTCCTCCATCTTCCAAGTTATCTATAATACCAAATATCTTTTATGCTCCAAATAAGTGAGTTTGTAATCTGTACTAAATAATTGAGATCTAATTGTAGTCATTGTCACTTTGATTTCACATTTAGGGTCCCAAGATGACTATACTAGTGTCATCCACATTATCCCAGAAAATCTTGACATGTCAAGTTCCTTATCTAAATTCTACTTAAAATATCTTTTTGCATGAAATGTAACATATTCACAGTTAATAGAAATTAGTGGGTCTATGTATTTTAAGGCCAGTATTCTACCTACCCTATAACTTGCTTCATTGTTATCCATTTACTGGTTTTGTTTTTCTTTAAAATGTTTATTGCAAACTGATGGCCATTTATTCTACTCTTTGTTTACTCAACTTGACAGTAAATTCTTGAAGTCAGAGATGATCCACTTATATTACTTTGGTAGATTTAGTGCTTATAGCAACGCATAGCACACATGGAGTGCTCAATAAATAATTGGTCAAGAACCATGAGTTTATTCTGGATGTTTTGAATGTGAAATACATGCAAAGTAAGCAATGGAATATATGCCTGGGATATGATGAAGTTTTTGCAAGGGGAGGGAGACTGGAATAATAAGTTAGAAAACTGCATTCAGAAGGATTGGATTGGGTGGGGAAGTTGGCACTGTAGCAGAGTAGCCAAAACCTCCACTTGTGACACCGCCAGCATCCCTTATGGGTACCAGTTCCTTTTCCACCTTCTTTCGAATCTAGCATCCAGCCTCTGTACCCAGAAAATCAGTGAAAATGGCCCAATTCTTTTCATACTTGGCTAACTCCACAGATAATGAAAGAATGAAACAGATGCTACGATTTCTAGTAGACATCCAAAGTTGTGATTGCGTGTCCCATTTGTTCCTACCCAAGGCCATTTTGAACATTCTGACAAATGGCCTGTTGTGTATGTGTAATATGTGAAGCTACTGGTCAGTCTTCTAAAAAGGGGATGTCTGCTTTGTGAGAG